TAAATCAGTGTGTAACTATCCTGTTATATCAGTGTGTAACTATCTAACCTGTTATATCAGTGTGTAACTAACTAACCTGATATATCAGTGTGTAACTGACTAACATGTTATCAGTGTGTACTAACTAACCTGTTATATATCAGTGTGTACTAACTAACCTGTTATATCAGTGTTTAACTAACTAACCTGTTATATCAGTGTGTAACGAACTAACCTGTTATATCAGTGTCTACTAACTATCCTGTTATATCAGTGTGTAACTAACTAACCTGTTATATCAGTGTGTACTAACTAACCTGTTATATCAGTGTGTAACTAACTAACTAACCTGTTAGATCAGTGTGTAACTAACTCACCTGATATATCAGTGAGTAACTAACTAACCTGTTAAATCAGTATGTAACTATCCTGTTATATCAGTGTGTACTAACTAACCTGTTATATCAGTGTGTAACTAACTAACCTGATATATCAGTGAGTAACTAACTAACCTGTTATAACAGTGAGTAACTGACTAACATGTTATCAGTGAGTAACTGACTAACATGTTATCAGTGTGTACTAACTAACCTGTTAAATATCAGTGTGTACTAACTAACCTGTTATATCAGTGTTTAACTAACTAACCTGTTATCAGTGTGTAACTGACTAACATGTTATCAGTGTGTAACTGACTAACATGTTATCAGTGTGTAACTGACTAACATGTTATCAGTGTGTAACTGACTAACCTGTTATCAGTGTGTAACTAACTAACCTGTTATCAGTGTACTAACTAACCTGTTATATCAGTGTGTAACTAACTAACCTGATATCAGTGAGTAACTAACTAACCTGTTAAATCAGTATGTAACTATCCTGTTATATCAGTGTGTACTAACTAACCTGTTAAATATCAGTGTGTACTAACTAACCTGTTATATCAGTGTTTAACTAACTAACCTGTTATCAGTGTGTAACTGACTAACCTGTTATCAGTGTGTAACTGACTAACCTGTTATCAGTGTGTAACTAACTAACCTGTTATCAGTGTACTAACTAACCTGTTATATCAGTGTGTAACTAACTAACCTGATATCAGTGAGTAACTAACTAACCTGTTAAATCAGTATGTAACTATCCTGTTATATCAGTGTGTACTAACTAACCTGTTATATCAGTGTGTAACTAACTAACCTGTTATATCAGTGTGTACTAACTAACCTGTTATATCAGTGTGTAACTAACTAACCTGTTATACCAGTGTGTAACTAACCAACCTGTTATATCAGTGTGTAACTAACTAACCTGTTATACCAGTGTGTAACTAACTAACCTGATATATTAGTGTGTAACTGACTAACCTGTTATATCAGTGTGTAACTGACTAACATGTTATATCAGTGTGTAACAAACTAACCTGTTATATCAGTGTGTAACTAACTAACCTGTTATACCAATGTGTAACTAACTAACCTGTTATACCAGTGTGAACTAACTAACCTGTTATATCAGTGTGTAACTAACTAATCTATTATGAGTGGGTTCTAACTAACCTGTTATCAGTGTGTAACTGACTAGCCTGTTATCAGCGTGTAACTAACTAACCTGTTAGTGTGTAACTAACTAACCTGTTATATCAGTGTGTAACGAACTAACCTGTTATATCAGTGTCTACTAACTATCCTGTTATATCAGTGTGTAACTAACTAACCTGTTATATCAGTGTGTACTAACTAACCTGTTATATCAGTGTGTAACTAACTAACTAACCTGTTAGATCAGTGTGTAACTAACTCACCTGATATATCAGTGAGTAACTAACTAACCTGTTAAATCAGTATGTAACTATCCTGTTATATCAGTGTGTACTAACTAACCTGTTATATCAGTGTGTAACTAACTAACCTGATATATCAGTGTGTAACTATCTAACCTGTTATACCACTGTGTAACTAACTAACCTGATATATCAGTGTGTAACTGACTAACCTGTTATCAGTGTGTAACTAACTAACCTGTTATCAGTGTACTAACTAACCTGTTATATCAGTGTGTACTAACTAACCTGTTATATATCAGTGTGTACTAACTAACCTGTTATATCAGTGTTTAACTAACTAACCTGTTATATCAGTGTGTAACGAACTAACCTGTTATATCAGTGTCTACTAACTATCCTGTTATATCAGTGTGTAACTAACTAACCTGTTATATCAGTGTGTACTAACTAACCTGTTATATCAGTGTGTAACTAACTAACTAACCTGTTAGATCAGTGTGTAACTAACTCACCTGATATATCAGTGAGTAACTAACTAACCTGTTAAATCAGTATGTAACTATCCTGTTATATCAGTGTGTACTAACTAACCTGTTATATCAGTGTGTAACTAACTAACCTGATATATCAGTGAGTAACTAACTAACCTGTTATAACAGTGAGTAACTGACTAACATGTTATCAGTGAGTAACTGACTAACATGTTATCAGTGTGTACTAACTAACCTGTTAAATATCAGTGTGTACTAACTAACCTGTTATATCAGTGTTTAACTAACTAACCTGTTATCAGTGTGTAACTGACTAACATGTTATCAGTGTGTAACTGACTAACATGTTATCAGTGTGTAACTGACTAACCTGTTATCAGTGTGTAACTAACTAACCTGTTATCAGTGTACTAACTAACCTGTTATATCAGTGTGTAACTAACTAACCTGATATCAGTGAGTAACTGACTAACATGTTATCAGTGAGTAACTGGCTAACATGTTATCAGTGTGTACTAACTAACCTGTTAAATATCAGTGTGTACTAACTAACCTGTTATATCAGTGTTTAACTAACTAACCTGTTATCAGTGTGTAACTGACTAACCTGTTATCAGTGTGTAACTGACTAACCTGTTATCAGTGTGTAACTAACTAACCTGTTATCAGTGTACTAACTAACCTGTTATATCAGTGTGTAACTAACTAACCTGATATCAGTGAGTAACTAACTAACCTGTTAAATCAGTATGTAACTATCCTGTTATATCAGTGTGTACTAACTAACCTGTTATATCAGTGTGTAACTAACTAACCTGTTATATCAGTGTGTACTAACTAACCTGTTATATCAGTGTGTAACTAACTAACCTGTTATACCAGTGTGTAACTAACTAACCTGTTATATCAGTGTGTAACTAACTAACCTGTTATACCAGTGTGTAACTAACTAACCTGATATATTAGTGTGTAACTGACTAACCTGTTATATCAGTGTGTAACTGACTAACATGTTATATCAGTGTGTAACTAACTAACCTGTTATATCAGTGTGTGACTAACTAATCTATTATGAGTGGGTTCTAACTAACCTGTTATCAGTGTGTAACTGACTAGCCTGTTATCAGCGTGTAACTAACTAACCTGTTAGTGTGTAACTAACTAACCTGTTATATCAGTGTGTAACGAACTAACCTGTTATATCAGTGTCTACTAACTATCCTGTTATATCAGTGTGTAACTAACTAACCTGTTATATCAGTGTGTAACTAACTAACTAACCTGTTAGATCAGTGTGTAACTAACTCACCTGATATATCAGTGAGTAACTAACTAACCTGTTAAATCAGTATGTAACTATCCTGTTATATCAGTGTGTACTAACTAACCTGTTATATCAGTGTGTAACTAACTAACCTGATATATCAGTGTGTAACTATCTAACCTGTTATACCACTGTGTAACTAACTAACCTGATATATCAGTGTGTAACTGACTAACATGTTATCAGTGTGTACTAACTAACCTGTTATATATCAGTGTGTACTAACTAACCTGTTATATCAGTGTTTAACTAACTAACCTGTTATATCAGTGTTTAACTAACTAACCTGTTATCAGTGTGTAACTGACTAACCTGTTATCAGTGTGTAACTAACTAACCTGTTATCAGTGTACTAACTAACCTGTTATATCAGTGTGTAACTAACTAACCTGATATCAGTGAGTAACTAACTAACCTGTTATACCAGTGTGTAACTAACTAACCTGATATATCAGTGTGTAACTGACTAACCTGTTATATCAGTGTGTAACTGACTAACATGTTATATCAGTGTGTAACAAACTAACCTGTTATATCAGTGTGTAACTAACTAACCTGTTATACCAATGTGTAACTAACTAACCTGTTATACCAGTGTGTAACTAACTAACCTGTTATATCAGTGTGTAACTAACTAACATGTTATATCAGTTTGTAACTAACTAACCTGATATATCAGTGTGTAACTAACTAACATGTTATATCAGTGTGTAACTAACTAACCTGTTATATCAGTGCGTACTAACTAACCTGATATATCAGTGTGTACTAACTAACTAACCTGTTAAACAGTGTGTACTAACTAACCTGTTATATCAGTGTGTACTAACTAACCTGTTATATCAGTGTGTAACTAACTAACCTGTTATATCAGTGTGTAACTAACTAACCTGTTATATGAGTGTGTAACTAACTAACTAACTAACCTGTTATATCTGTGTGTAACTAACCTGTTATATCAGTGTATAACTAACTAATCTATTATGAGTGGGTACTAACTAACCTGTTATATCAGCATGTAACTAACTAACCTGTTAAATCAGTGTGTAACTAACCTGTTATATCAGTGTGTAACTAACTAACCTGTTATATCAGTTTGCAACTAACCTTTTATATCATTGTGTAACTAACTAACCTGTTATATCAGTGTGTAACTAACTAACCTGTTATATCAGTTTGCAACTAACCTTTTATATCATTGTGTAACTAACTACCCTGTTAAATCAGTGTGTAACTAACCTGTTATATCAGTGTGTACTAACTAACCTGTTATATCAGTGTGTACTAACTAACCTGTTATATCAGTGTGTAACTAACTAACCTGTTATATCAGTGTGCAACTAACCTGTTATATCAGTGTGTAACTAACTAACCTGTTATATCAGTGTGCAACTAAGTAACTAACCTGTTATATCAGTGTGTTCTAACTAGTATAGATCATTACTTCTTTCATCTCATGGTATTGTCCCAGGAGGGCGTAGGGGCAGTAGGAGATGCTCATGGAGATAATGCCCATGCTGCTGATCATCACCATGGAGACGTAGACATTGGGGAAGATTGCCATGACGGCCGTACCGATGGAGAAGCCCAGCGTACCCAGGACGTAGATAACCTTGATGCTCAGGTCAAAGTTGTCCAGGTACTTCTGCAGTAAGGCTGAAACAATACAATATCATTGTTTATAAGCGATTGTAAGTGTAGTTTATATAAACAAGGGGAGGCCAAATCAAATGTATTTTATAAAGCCCTTTTTACATCAGCAGTTGTCACAAAGTGCTTTACAGATACTCAGCCTAAACCCCCAAAGAGCAAGCAATGCAGATGCAGAAGCACAGTGGCCGAAGCCTGAACCTACGAAGACACCTAGATTTCATATGGCCTCGTATAAAGAGTTGGTTTAGTTACAAGAGAGGTGACCCCTGTAAGTCTTATCCACACCGTGGGTCAACTAGACGACATTCACCATGATTTAGTGACCAGCAATTAGTACAGATTTCCTCTTGTGACTTACCCTGGGTGTTTAGGTGCTGGTTGCTGTACAGCTCTTTGTGAATAGTCCAATCATAAAAAGCACTACAATTTCTTTGGACTGATTGAGTGACTATCACTTGCACAAATCATCTCAGTTTACTGGCTTGTCATGGTCTAACCCTCCAGCATGGGAACAGAGCGACAGATAGCACATTGGCTGCAGACTGCGTACATTGTTTAGAAAGGACTTTATGGCTGCCTCAGAGCACACGGACCCTGGGCCCTGGGCGCTCAGCCTGGTCTGATAGACTAGACACAACATAGTAAATGTAAATCCAGGACACTCAACTTAGTATGATAGGTTACGTTTGGTATGGTTACATAAGACAGATGGTTACTTAAGGAAAAAACCAAAGTAGGGTGGGTGGGCGTATAACTCGAACGTCTAGCAACCCAAAGGTTGCGAGTTCGAATCTATTCACGGACAACATTAGCATTTTAGCTAATTAGCTACTTTTGAACTACTTACTACTTTTTAGCTACTTTGCAACTACTTAGCGTGTTAGCTAAACCTTCCCCTAACCCTTTTAGCTAACCCTTCCCCTAACCCTAACCTTAACCCAACAACCTAACTCCTAAACTTAACCCTAACCTTAACCCTAAACCCTAGCTAACGTTAGCCACCTAGCTCGAATTTGTAACATATTGTACGTTTAGCTAATTCGTAACATATTGTACGTTTTGCAATTTCGTTATGCTTACCATACGAAATGTAACATATCACACTAAATTGATTTATTAGTTAGTTCAACCGTCCATTCTTCCATTCATCCATCCATCCTTCCATTCATCCATCCAATCATTTATTTATTCTACTCAATGACTGGTCACTCACCTGAGCAGGAGGCAGCGGTCAAGGCATAGATGACCAGCCCCCAGCAGCCCATCTGAACTCCTTTGTGGTAGTTCTGCAGTTCCGTGGAGTTAGCAGGAGCCTGGAGAGAGGAGGGAAAACAACAGCTCAGTTTAGTTAGGGATAGAGAATGGGAGGCCAGTATCCCAGAGGTTAGAGAGGCGGGCCAGCAACCAGAGGGTAACCGGTCGGCAACAAAAATCTGGTGGCGAGTGATCTGGCAATCGGAGATTGAGTTTGTGTGATTAATAGTTTTTTTATTTGCAGAAGACATGAAAAAAAGACTTTGCCTTTATAAATACAATAGGCTATTTAATAACGTGGCATATTGGTCCTTGGCGTCCCAGTAGCCTTACCGTGGGGTCGCCGTGGTAGATGACCTGGCCCATGAAGTCAGTGTAGAAGACGGCCTCAGCGATGATGGAGAACCAGGTGAGGAGATGACAGACACAGAGCCTCATCAGCTCTGGAGGCATCTTCAGCATGGAAAGCCAGAGCAGCCTGACCGTGGTCTCCGTCTCCCCCTCCTCGCTCTCCGTGTCCCCGCTGGAGTTGGTGTTGCCTGACTGGTGGCGCGCTCTGGGGTTCTGCTGTTTCCTCTTCTGTCTCCGCTGCACCTCGTAGATGTCGTTCAAGCTGCGCGACGGCTTGATGAGCAGCGCGGCGTTGGCCCGCCGGTAGCGGTAGCGGTGGGAGCCCACGCGGCCGTAATAGGAGAAGGTGCAGGATGGCTGGCGGTAGAAGATGTGTCGGCGGCGCGGCATGGAGGCGTTGGTGCTGGCCGAGTTCTTCATGACCATGCAGCCGTGCCCGTTGGCGCCCTGGCCCAAGCTGTTGGCGTGCGCCCGGCCGTTGGGCGTCTTCTGCTCGTTGAGCTGGTTGTTGAGAAGCGCCACCTCCCCGTCGCGGTCCTGCTCCTGCAGGAACTGGGACAGCCGGCAGATCTTTTTTGAGGTTTTGAGGAGGTCCTGGCTGCCTGTGCTGCTGCTGCGGCGTGGTGGAGAGCCGTGGTAGGACGACAGGCGGTCGGCGAAGATGGAGGGCTCGATGTGAAGCAGGGACAGAGCATCGTGGTCCAGGTGATCCAGTGTGGCGTCGGCCATTTGCAGAACCGAGTCCGACTTGGACCTCACCATCTCCACATCCAGGAAGTCCATGTCGCTCAATGAGCGCCCGTCCTCGTCCCCCTCGCCGTCCCCGTAGAACTCGTAACGGTCGTAACGATCGCAAGGGTCGTAGATGTCGTCCTCTCCTATGAGCTCCATGTGGGGGGTGTTGTGGCCATGGAACTTCCCCAGGGAGCAGTTGGCCTTGTGGGCCGTGGAGGAGCCAGCGTCGGCCTCCTCGTCCAGCCGGTCCTGCTGGGGGCTGTACCGCTGCTCTTCGATGCTGAACAGATGCAGCACCACAGAGATAGTGAACAAGATGGCGGCGAAGAAGAAGAGAATCTGCTCCTGGGACTTGAAGATAGAGCCCAGGAATGTGTGGGTCCAGTCCAGACCGCCTAGCGCGTAGCCCACCGCTCCCCCACAACCTGGCCCATGCACACACACACAAAATACACAATTAGCATCTCTAATAACATAACATAGCAAGCCAGCATGGATCTCCGTTTCAGCTGAATTTCCTGTATGAAAATATTACATTACTTAAAAAACTTTCACAGACATTACAGACAAAGGTATTGGCATGGAAACATCCTGAAATACAAGGTGAGTGCTACTAAGACGTGTATCGTACCAGAGGAGAAGGCGTGGATGTTGAGGGCCATGTCTTGTTCTTCGGTGTCTGCCACGTCTAGTAGGTAAGCCCTTATGGGACCCTCGGTTGCGTCTGCACTGAAGTCCAGCACCACTACACCGAGCACCGTCAGAACGATCCCTATGGGCTGGTTATTTGGCACGTCGCCGACAGCAAGACCTGGAACACAAACAGAGTCAGAGATGGTATCCTAGCTGGTACAACACCTTCAGAAAACCATAGGCATAATTCACAGACAGAAAGTTCGCAACAGAGACCATATCATTCCAATCCAGTATACATATTGATAAGCTATATCCATCCTAGTTACTTTGCTGCTCTGCAACTATGAGAACACAGCAGGATCGAGATATTGCACGTGAATCAATACCCGATTAGTGGGTTACAATTATGGCACGTAACTGCCTTCTAACACACACACACACACACACAACCATATACCCTAGGTCATTCATAGCCATTTGCCAAGGTGCTGCGTGACTACTATCTGTGCCCTTGTGTCTGGTCCAACCTGTGACCTTGTCTTACCCAGAGGTCTAGTGTCTGAAGTTCAGTCACCCCAACAAACATTGGTTCATGGCACATGCTGACGTATATATGGTATATTCCACCTCAGAGGACAGGAAGAACTTGATTGGATGATCACCCTCAGGGCTACAGGGAATATCTAGATTGTCACTGTGTGATGAAAACCAAACTCAATTTTTGCCAATTTTCATATTTTTACATGTATTGAAAGCAGTAACCCCTTCAACGTACTCTGAACATTTCTTAACAAGGACCAAGAAAATGTATTCAAAACAGCTTCTTAAGTTTCCAAATTGTATGTTCGTTAATGGTAAATGTTTTTTTTTGTTTTTTTTTCTCCATTTCCTGAAAAGTTCCTGTTTTTTTTTTTAGATAAGAGGTTTTCATCTGACAGCGACGATATGATACCTCATCAGTGTATACTATTTAAAAGAGACTCCTGTCCTAGTTCACTCCAACGCAGAGTTATCAGTACAAGCATCACACGTAAATATCATTTATCAAAATATCCTCTAAAAATAAACACTAGCCAGTAAAACACAACATCATCCCTGTACGGTAAGTGTCATTAGTGACATTGCAAGTCTGGCCTACTGTGAATTATTTCACTGGGAATCTAAACTCTTAGTTGTAAACTTCCATTTACTACTTCCATCATAACATTGAGCCCAGAGGAACTCCCCATTCCCAGGACACAACAACAAACAAGTCATTATTCAAATGTTCTCATAAAGGGACAAAGCTCTTTAGAATTTATTTTGCTAATTAACAACAACCACAGAGGAAGAGAAGTGTAAATTTGTATTACTGAAGTCTGTACTGTCTGAGCCTGTGTGTAGTCAGTCAGTGTGTACGTAGTAAGCAAAGCCTTTCTTCCTGACAATGGAGTGGCCGACGAGCAGTGTGCTAGCGCTGGAGACAGGAAGCAGCTCCAGATAGGCAATGAAAGGTAAGTAAGGGGGCACAACAGGAAACGTTTCCCTGTGAACTGGTTCCTAGTCCTTTCCCATGTCACAGAGACTGACAGGGTTCACACACACCGTTCGGCCCAGCAGGTCAGCGTACACTGGAGTCTGTAGCCTTGCTGCTTCTCTTTTTCAGCAAGTTACTGTGACCCACAGCACTGGGACCTGAGCTGGGGGTGACAACGCACAAATAGCCGCTCTGGGAGGGCTACGGTGAGGGCACTGCTCGGACATACACACACATTCACAGAAACGTGCACACACACACACACACACACTTCAAAATAACACAGTCCAACTAAATCCAATCCAATCCAAAGACCTTTCAAGCTTTTCAGGTGTTCAGTGACCTCAGGCCATGCAGTCACATCTCCAAAAAGCAGAGAAAGTAAAGCAAAGTGCCCTATCCCTTCCACTACTACCAGACTCTTCAGTCCTAATTGGTTGACTGTCCTGAAGCCAGCAGCACATCAATTATATGGGATATCTATTGATCTTCCCCTCTGCTGTGCCTTTCAAGCACGGAACAAAATGGATCCCTTCTCTCTCTCCCTCTTCTGCCTGCACAGATAGCAGCATTTAGGGTCACTTCCACTGGTAATGATAATGAGTAGCCAGTAGGCTAATGTAGGATGTGAAACTCCTGATGGAAGTGGAACTTGATGTGTGTGTTGCATTAGAACAGAGTTGAAGTTATAGAACCAGGCTCTTTTTTGGGGGGGTATTTTACCCCCTTTTTCTCCCCAATTTCGTGGTATCCAATTGGTAGTTACAGTCTTGTTCCATCGCTGCAACTCCCGTACGGACACGGGAGAGGCGAAGGTCGAGAGTCGTGCGTCCTCCGAAACACAACCCAACCGAGCCGCACTGCTTCTTGACACAGTGCCCGCTTAACCCGGAAGCCAGCCGCACCAATGTGTTGGAGGAAACACTGTACACTTGGCGACCGAGTCAGCGTGCACTGCGCCCGGCATGTTACAGGAGTCGCTAGTGCGTGATGGGACAAGAACATCCCTGCCGGCCAAACCCTCCCCTACACTGGACGACGCTGGGCCAATTGTGCGCTGCCCCATGGGTCTCCCGGTCGCGGCAGAGCATGGACTCGAACCAGGATCTCTAGTGGCACAGCTAGCACTGCGATGCAGTGCCTTAGACCACTGCGCCACTCAGGAGGCCCTTGCTCTCCTTTCTAAACTCAGGAGAACCACATTAGTGAGACACAGCCAGAGATACTTTTCAATTCAATATGCTTCATATCACAACTCACACTCAAGAAGAATACTTATTAGGTGAGGCTAAAAGACTGACTTACTAACTGACTGGCTGACTGACTGGCTGACTGACCGGCTGCTATCATGGATAACAAGAGGATGTCATTAGCCTATTCTATGAACTCAATCACTTTCCTGTCACACACACACTGGCAATAAGGGGTTAAACCGTCAGATAGGACTTGACGGTTAATTAGAGATGGCTTTAGAAGGTATTGTATCTCAGATACAATACACACACGTACACATGGATTTTGTATTGTAGATATGTGGTAGTGGTGGAGTAGGGGCCTGAGGGCACACAGTGTGTTGTGAAATCTGTGAATGTATTGTAATGTTTTTAAAATTGTATAACTGCCTTAATTTTGCTGGACCCCAGGAAGAGTAGCTGCTGCCTTGGCAGCAGCTTATGGGGACCCATAATAAATACAAATACAAAGTATGTGTGGGTGGGTGTGTGCCTGTCCTGTCTTTCAACTCCCGGAGGTTGTCAGACTACAAGTCTATAGGGTTAGTGTGAATTCCTGTCCCAAATAGAGGATGTGCCTGTCTAGCATAGTGTCAGGTGGTGTCTGCGCTCTCTGCTCCAGCAGGGGATGGCAGGTGTCTGCCAGTGTTCCTGTAACGTGAGGCCTTTCATCTCAAATAAATAACCATTTCAACACCATTACTGCCAGTGGGTAAAAATGGTGAATGCAGCTGTGGATGGTTGCATCTAATAACCTAACTTCTCTAAACTGGCAACTGAACAGATTTGATCAATAATTTATTTTAACGATCAATTGGTTCAACTTTTAACCTTAACCTATAGTGACAATGTAACAATGTAGTAACAATGTTGGTTATTGAATTCCTGGTGGAGTACACAGCAGCTCTTTCTACAGGCCTCGCCTCTCCTTTCTCCTGCCCCACTACCCTCCACATCTCACCCCCCTGCCTAACCCCCAGTCTCACCGATGAGTGACCCGTTGAGGAAGAGTGCCACTCCAAACAACACGCCCACACACAGGGCCAGGATGAAAGGTCGTCGCCGGCCCCATTTCAGGGTGCAGCGGTCGCTGGCTGAGCCAATCAGAGGTGTGAAGATCAGACCCAGGATGGGGCTCAGGAACCACGTCAGGCTGTAATACTGTTCTGGAAGACCTGGAGATAGACAGGAAGGAAACAAGGGGTATAGGGTTATCATCATCATCATCATCATCCAAACAGGCAGAACGTTTGGAACTGTGTGGAGCATAGATGCATATAGGATCACTGTTCTGGAGGACTTGAACACAGGATAAAAAATAGAACATGTACTTTAGGGGCTAGTTTCCCAGACTAAAAAGCACAACCAATGGAGATTCTCTACTGGACTGCACGTACACTATATACACAAAAGTATGTGGACACCCTTTCAAATGAGTGGATTCGGCTATTTCAGCCACACCTGTTGCTGACAGGTGTATAAAATCGAGCACACAGCCATGCAATCTCCATAGACAAACATTGGCAGTAGAATGGCCTTACTGAAGAGCTCAGTGACTTTCAACGTGGCACCGTCATAGGATGCCACCTTTCCAACAAGTCAGTTCGTCAAATTTCTGCCCTGCTAGAGCTGCCCCGGTCAACTGTAAGTGCTGTTATTGTGAAGTGGAAACGTTTAGGAGCAACAACGGCTCAGCCGCGAAGTGGTAGGCCACACAAGCTCACAGAACGGGACCGCGAGTGCTGAAGCGCGTAGCACGTAAAAATTGTCTGTCCTCGGTTGCAACACTCCCTACCGAATTCCAAACTGCCTCTGGAAGCAACGTCAGCACAAGAACTGTTAGTCGGGAGCTTCATGAAATGGGTTTCCATGGCCGAGCAGCCGCACACAAGCCTAAGATCACCATGCACAATGCCAAGCGTCGGCTGGAGTGGTGTAAAGCTTGCCGCCATTGGACTCTGGAGCAGTGGAAATGCGTTCTCTGGAGTGATGAATCACGCTTCACCATCTGGCAGTCCGAACGGATGAATCTGGGTTTGGCGGATGCCAGGAGAACGCTACCTGCCCCAATGCATAGTGCAAACTGTTCGGTGGAGGAGGAATAATGGTCTGGGGCTGTTTTTCATGGTTCAGGCTAGGCCCCTTAGTTCCAGTGAAGGGAAATCTTAACGCTACAGCATACTAGACGATTATGTGCTTCCAACTCTGTGGCAACAGTTTGGGGAAGGCCCTTTCCTGTTTCAGCATGACAATACCCCCGTGCACAAAGCGAGGTCCATACAAAAATGGTTTGTCAAGATCGTTGTGGAAGAACTTGACTGGCCTGCACAGGGCCCTGACCCAAAACCCATCTAACACCTTTGGAATGAATTGGAACGCTGACTGCAAGACAGGCCTAATCTCCCAACATCAGTGCCCGACTTCACTAATGGTCGTGGCTGAATGGAAGCAAGTCCCTGCAGCAATGTTCCAACATCTAGTGGAAAGCCTTCCCATAAGAGTGGAGGCGGTTATAGCAGCAAAGGGGGACCAACTCCATATTAATGCCTATGATTTTGGAATGAGATGTCCGACGAGAAGGTGTCCACATACTATTGGTCATGTAGTGTATTTTTTTGTCCAGGACTTGGCTTAGTCTGTGTTGGGGAAACAGGCCCTTGATGAACTGTTTATGACAGTGTGAACATGTAGCATATTGACCTAGACTAGGGGATCTAGGCTATGGTCTAGCCAGAAGAGAGAAGGAGAAACCCAAACAGGTGTAATATTTGGCACTGTGTGGACACACATGAGCGGGGACAACATCAGGCTGGTATAGCCTTATCTCCGATCCAAAAAAGACTCAAACCAGGAAGGATTGGAGCAAGCTTGGCCTTTATACCCAGAGAAGGATTTGTATTCCTTTTTCTGAATTCCAAAAGGCTCTAATAAGAAGCCAACAGTAAATAAAGCTATTTGGTACACAGTCCAGTGCAGCCCAGTTGTACTTGTAGTAATCCTGATCCTCTCGGTGTGGCTGGCTGTGCTGGCAGACTTCCCTCCGGCCGGCTCTGACCGGCCCAGCCACTATACACCTTTCATTGTTAGTGGGGGGAACAGTGTGTGTTTGTTTCCTGCTGCTCTGAGAGAGGTGGCCTATATAGGAGAGAGGGCAGGCCTCTAACATGTACCCACGTCTGGCTCTGGGAAGCAGCCAACATACAGTACAGTACTATACAGTATACTGATAGAATCAGCTGAGCAGGGCTGTGAGAAACACGGAGGAATGAGATCAGCAGTTTTAAGTGTGTGTGTGAAATAAGTTTTGTGTGTGTGTGTGTGTGTGTGTGTGTGTGTGTGTTCGATCACAGCAGTGTGTATACTCCAGGCTTACACACAGCAGTGTGTATACTCCAGGCTTGACCCTGATCTCTCTTTTGACGAACATATCAAGACTGTTTCAAGGACAGCTTTTTTCCATCTACGTAACATTGCAAAAATCAGAAATGTTCTGTCCAAAAATGATGCAGAAAAATTAATCCATGCATTTGTTACTTCTAGGTTAGACTACTGCAATGCTCTATTTTCCGGCTACCCGGATAAAGCACTAAATAAACTTCAGTTAGTGCTAAATACGGCTGCTAGAATCCTGACTAGAACCAAGAAATTTGATCATATTACTCCAGTGCTAGCTTCCCTACACTGGCTTCCTGTTAAGGCAAGGGCTGATTTCAAGGTTTTACTGTTAACCTATAAAGCGTTACATGGGCTTGCTCCTACCTATCTTTCCGAGTTGGTCCTGCCGTACATACCAATACGTACGCTACGGTCACAAGACGCAGGCCTCCTAATTGTCCCTAGAATTTCTAAGCAAACAGCGGGAGGCAGGGCTTTCTCCTATAGATCTCCATTTTTATGGAACAGTCTGCCTACCCATGTGAGAGACGCAGACTCGGTCTCAACCTTTAAGTCTTTACTGAAGACTTATCTCTTCAGTAGGTCATATGATTGAGTGTAGTCTGGCCCAGGAGTGTGAAGGTGAACGGAAAGGCTCTGGAGCAACGAACAGCCCTTGCTGTCTCTGCCAGGCCGGTTCCCCTCTCCACTGGGGTTCTCTGCCTCTAACCCTGTTGCAGGGGCTGAGTCACTGGCTTGCTGGTGCTCTTTCATGCCGTCCCTGGGAGGGGTGCGTCACTTGAGTGGGTTGAGTTACTGACGTGATCTTCCTGTCTGGGTTGGCGCCCCCCCTTGGTTTGTGCTGTGGTGGAGACCTCTGTGGGCTATACTCGGCCTTGTCTCAGGATTGTAAGTTGGTGGTTGAGGATATCCCTCTAGTGGTGCGGGGGCTGTGCTTTGGCAGAGTGGGTGGGCTTATATCCTTCCTGTTTGGCCCTGTCCGGGGGTTTCTTCGGATGGGGCCACAGTGTCTCCGGACCGCTCCTGTCTCAGCCTCCAGTATTTATGCTGCAGTAGTTTATGTGTCGGGGGGCTGGGGTTAGTTGGTTATACCTGGAGTACTTCTCCTGTCTTATCCAGTGTCCTGTGTGAATTTAAGTATGCTCTCTCTAATTCTCTCGTTCTCTCTTTCTCTCTGAGAACCTGAGCCCTAGGACCATACGTCAGGACTACCGGGCATGATGACACCTTGCTGTCCCCAGTCCGCCTGGCCTTGCTGCTATTCCAGTTTCAACTGTTCTGCCTGCGGTTACGAAACCCCTACCTGTCCCAGACCTGCTGTTTTCAACTCTTAATGATCGGCTATGAAAAGCCAACTGAGAGACCTGAGCCCTAGGACCATACGTCGGGACTACCGGCCGTGGTGACTCCTTGCTGTCCCCAGTCCGCCTGGCCTTGCTGCTATTCCAGTTTCAACTGTTCTGCCTGCGGTTATGGAACCCCTACCTGTCCCAGACCTGCTGTTTTCAACTCTTAATGATCGGCTATGAAAAGCCAACTGAGATTTATTCCTGATTATTATTTGACCATGCTTGTCACTTATGAACATTTTTGAACATCTTGGCATGGTTCTGTTATAATCTTCACCCGGCACAGCCAGAAGAGGACTGGCCACCCCTCATAGCCTGGTTCCTCTCTAGGTTTCTTCCTAGGTTTTCGCCTTTCTAGGGAGTTTTTCCTAGCCACCGTGCTTCTACACCTGCATTACTAGCTGTTTGGGGTTTTAGGCTGGGTTTCTGTACAGCACTTCGAGATATTAGCTGATGTAAGAAGGGCTATATAAAATAAAATTGATTGATTGATTGATTGATTATGAACACAGTCATTAGCCCTATATTGATCTCAGGTCATGAGAATAAGTCCTCACGAACATAGATACTGGTGAGAGGCTGTCTCTAGGTGAAATTAGGTAGAGGTCATATGATAATAAGGATCACCAGGGCTGTGAAGCTCTCATCCCTCGATAACACATGCATGTAACATGCACATACACACAGGCATGCACACACAGCAAAGGCCTTATGATAATATAACAATTGTATTAGACAATAACGTAATAATAAATTAATACAACCACAGGCAAATGATCAAGTAAGGAAATAGGCTTTTTAATAGGCCTACTGTTCATTATCCTCAAGATACCTTGAAGGGATACTTCAGGATTTAGGAAATTCATCCCTTTATTTACTTCCCCAGAGTCAGATGAACTCATGGATACCATTTTTATGTCTCTGCATCCAGTATTAAGGAAGTTAGAGGTTGTTCCGCAAGCCAAAGCTAACTAGCGTTAGCGAAATAACTGGAAGCCTATAGTATCTACTAGCATGCTAGCAGTTACCATAGACTTCTAGTCATTGTGCTAACGCTAGTTAAAAGCTTCCTTAAAACTGCACGCAGAGACATAAAAATGGTATCCATGAGTTCATCCGACTCTGGGGAAGTAGATAAAGGGCTTCATTGACAAAATCCTGATGTATCCCTTTAAGATACCCAAGATTACCCTCTCTTCTCACGACTAACCCATGGACTACAGATGAAACGCTGGTGCAATGGCATTTTGTACATGGTCCCTGACAAATAAACAAATAAAATAAAAATACAGGGGGTTACAGGTTATAGCTACAAATGATTCCACACTTGGAAGTGCCTCAAGTCCTGTCATCTCAGTCCACACACACAAACACATATCACGTAACCCCTAAACAGCACGTAGCTGGCGATTAAGGTTATGTAAAAGGAGGAAGAGATTGGGGGCGTCTTAAGGGAGGTGAAGTCAGACTGATGGACACAGCCCAAGGACCTGTGAGCCACATTCAAACTTAACACGCAGTCAA